CCCCAAAACCCCAAAACCCCATTAGTATAGATTTAAGTTTATATGGGATTATAATAAAATATAATACAAAGGAATAAATGAATAATAAGAAAAACCTTCTACAAAAGATACTAAGATAAAGACAGGCAAAATAATTCACTCAGATTTAAGCAAGATTCATGATGACTATTCCAAGAATTATTCAAAATAACTCAATGATGACTCACAGAATTAGCCTCATGCAATTTAGTAAAAGTTTCTTTGGAAGTGACTCAAATATCAAAAAACCAGAATATATTAAGGAAATGACATCAATGGAAGATTGGAATAGCATCCTTGATAGCAAGACTCCAGTAGTATTTTAATGCTCTGCATCATGGTGCAGGCCATGCTAGGTATTAAGACCTGTTGCAGAGAAAATAATAAAAGATCACAATGGCAGAGTTGTGTTCTATTATGTTGATATCGAAAAATTCCCTGAAATTAGCAACATGCTTAATGTAAGTCAACCAATCCCCTTATATATTTCTTTAATCATTAAATCATTTAGATTCAACACGTTCCTCAATTGTATTCTGTCAAAGATGGATAGTTAGTAAATTCTTTGTCTGGAGTCCCAAATAATACAGATTTAAATAAATTTGTAGCAGATTTGTATGATCCCAACGAACCATAAGTAAAAGAATGAATTAGTTTACATTAAATCATTTACGATTACTAATAACTATTTACAGGAATTAAAGTATATTTAGATAACTCGATTCATAAAATTCATTCTATCACATTAAAAAATATTCATTCATTCATGTCCAAAAGCATCTCTTATCTTCTTTAATTCAAAATATCTAAAAGACCCTTAATTGTCTAGTTTTGATTCTCATTATTTCTATATTGTGCCTCCTTTTTCCTAATTCTCTAAGCTAAAACTTTTCTTAGTTTATAAGATCGATAGTACTTAGCTATGACAGTGCATGCCTCAAATTCCTAAAATAGTGTTAGAAGGGAAATAGTATTTACTGATTTCGTCATTAAGAATCTGTTCTTCCTCATTACTCCAGATACATTACATTTAGTCGTTGGTCTGTGTCTATCTTTAAGTGTTGCATTTCCTTTCCAATAGTTTTAACTTGAGTCTATCAGTCTGTTTAGATAATCAGCATTTGAGTTAATAGAAACCTGACATAATTTAGTTAAAATCTATAAATAATTACAGGTTCAAAATTCTAAACAGGGCCATTTTCAAAGAAAAATATTCCTTTATTTTGATCCTTATTTCCTAGCAGTGATAACTTATCCCTTGATGAGCAAATAGCATCATAGTCTTTCCTCATATCAGAGTTACTGCATGAACAAACTAGTCCCATTATAAGAGTATATTATTTTAATTAAATTTCATAATTATCTTAGTTTATTTATAAATAGAATTATTTTGTGTGTTGGGGTTTTGGGGTTTTGGGG